CATTAATGTAAAACTTGAATCACTTAAGGTGCTAGGACAAAATGTAGGCATTTCTCAACAAGATATATGTGTGAAAATGACTTTCTTTGTAGGACCCTGTTGCCCAAGAATTAAGGGTAACAATGACAAATGAGAACTAATAAAACTAAAAGCTTCTGTACAACTAAGGAAATCCTTAATTGAGTGAAGGGGAATTTCAGAGAGTGGGAGAGAATCATTGCCAGCTATATGACTGACAGATGATTAAAATCCAGAATATATAAGGAACTCAAAAAACTAAAAATTCAGGGTAGGGGGAATTTAAATAATGAGCTATAGATATGAACAGTTTTCAAAGGGAGAAATAAAAACGACAGTAGAATATTTCAAAAAGTGTTCATCCTTAGCAATTAGGGAAATTAAAATTAAAACAACTTTGAGATTTCATCTTACCCCTGCAAGAATATCTAAGATCAGCAAAATAAACAACAACCAATGCTAGAGAGAATGTGAGGAATAGGGAACACTCATTCACCGTGACCTGGATTGTCAACTGATGCAGCCACCCTTGAAATCAATGTGGAGAATATTCGAAAGTCTAAAAATAAATCTACCAAATGATCCAGCTGTATCACTCCTGGCATATACCCAATGGACTCAATATCCTACTTTACAGACACTTGCTTAGCCATGTTTATTGTCACTCTATTCATAATAGCTAGGAAATGGGAGAAACCATTTTAATGTCCTTAAACTGATAGTGATCAATGTAATGTGGTGCATACACACTATGGGATGCTTTTCATATGTTAAAAAATGAAATCTGCACGTAAAATGATGGAGCTAGAAAATATTATATTAAGTGGAGTTACCTAGATCCAGAAAGACAAATGCCACACGTTTTCCCTCGTCTTTTATCCTTAGCAACAAATCTATATGAACAGGAGAGCCACAGAAACTAGAAGGTAAAAAAGAGACATTGGGATAAGGAGAGTGCTAAAGACAGGAACAGAAGCATTGAGATGCTATGAAGGGGAAAAGGAGATAAAAGTGGGTGAGACAGGATGGTGAAATCATATATTGAAGGACAGAGGGAAGAGGGATAAATGGCATTAAGGTTGTTTGAAAAATAAATAATCATGTTATTTATATTTTCCTAAAATTATGTAAAGTATATCTTAATATATATGTTCACACTTTCAATGAAGTAATTGGAGTGATAATACTCCCCTCAAGATTCCTAGACTTAAAAAAATCCTTGTTACCAGACACAGGAAAATGCTTTTTGAGTTGTTGACCATAGATGTCTAAGAGACTTCCCAATCTGGCTGTATATTCTGTCTGTGGTTGCCTCCCAGAAGTTGAAGGTAAGTTCCTATTTCTGAAGACACAGTGCATTTCAAACACTGGACTCAAAAGAGTTAAGTTGGATAATACATAATCTCCTCTCTAGAGACTGGCTTTCATAACACAAGCTGCCAAGGAAGGAAAGAAAGCGATAGTCCAACACAGCTGTGATGCCTATAAATATGAACTACAACAGTGATCACTATGATAAGATATCCCTAAAGGCACAGGGGTGACATTCATATGTCTATTTGTATTTCTAGTCTACTTAGCAAGAGAAATCATGTCTAGTACTGAAAACCTGGTCAACTACCTGAGGCTACTAAGGTCATGAATAGCAGAGAAGAACCTACCATTGCTACCTTTGTAAACTAGTATAATTTCTAAGTGCATTCTAAGCACTTACTCTCATACTCACAGATGTGTATAGCTCTCACCCCTTATCAAAGAATCATCTCTTTGTAGCAGACATTATTAAAGAATGCTACACATGGTCAAAATACAGAAAACAAGTGATCATGTAGTTCTTAGGACAAATTGACACCTCAAAAGCACAACCCCATTCCTAAGGCTGAGGAACATTTCAAGAACGTATGTATACATATATGTAATGATAATAATTAAAGAAAACAGTGAATTTGAGAAGGAGCAAAGAGGATGCGGCAGGATTGGGAGGAAGAATGTGTAAGAAATTACATAATTAAATAATGATTTAACCAAAAAAAAAGGAAACCTAAGTAAAGATTTCCTATGGAGACAGCTCCTGTGAAAATCAAAGAGTTGGTGTAACTAGAGTATGCAGTCAAAGAGCACTGTCCATAAAGATCAAAGCAGATGTCATGCCAGAGCTGTCAGGAGGATATGACATTGCTGGTGCTAACTGTTACAGTGACACTGGATAGTTACAAAAGGAGTAGAAAACAATGTGACAGATAGGAGATATTTTGGAGATTTCAAGCATATATCACTGGGGCCAAAGGAAGTATATTACATTTCAGAGAAATATAAAATCTCAGCAAAGGCTATGAATCTAGTTTTTGATGAATTTGGCATGCTGTGGAAAAAGAAAGTGGTGACAGTTGTAGCTTTGTTCTTGAATGGGTGAATAAACAAATACATGTGTGCACAGATTTATGAAACATAGCTTCAGGGTTGCATGCCGTTTACAGGCCATTTAGAAACAGATCCTGACAATGTGAAATGTTTTCACAAGAAAGACCAGGGCTGTGAGGGTGGAACCACCTTGCTGTGTGTAAGAAGAATGGTGAAAGCTCGTGGAGAAGCAAAGTCCTGTGGGCAAGCAGAGTCATAATCTATGAGTATTTGAACAGACATAATGCAAATTCTATACTGTGTTTAAGTGACAGAATAACACATTCTCACATAAAGATAGATTTTAACTGCCCCATTACTCTCCCAATGATGTTCTTTATTGTTTTTTTTCTTTTGTTACCTCTATTGGATAATAATGTGCAATGGTTAATGCTGATTTTCAGTTTTGCAGCATTAGAGACAAGCATCTGAGAGTGTCTGTAAGAGATTTCCTTGATTATGTTAACTGAAATTAGAATTCCCATTTTAGTGTGGTTGGCAATATTCTATGGTTTGGGGTCCTATGTTTTTCATTAAATTTTTTTCATACATTTTGACCATCCTTTCCCCTTCCTCAGCTCCTCCCTATCTCCCTGCCCATTCAACTTCAAACCTTCTGTCTCTACCTGTCTCTTTGTTTCTGTGTCTCTAACTCTCTGTCTCTGTCTCTCTGTCTCTCAAGCACTATGCTCTTTCCTGGGTCTAAGTTGTACAGTTTAGCATGCAATAAAAAGTACCACAAATAGTAAATGATTTCCCATTTTCTTTTTGCAAAGCAAAATAATACGTTCTTTCATTTGCTAGGATGTGTGTGTTTCAAGTATTTATGTGAAATAACTTATTTGGCAGTACCACAAATGAAAACATTTCAATGTATCCTAATTAGGGCCACCTGATGTTTTGACTATTACATAGCTGAAACTATAACACCATTCCAAGAACTCAAAATTAAATGTTCCAAAATATAAATAATTTATCAATTTAGAGATAGTAGCCAATTTCAGTCTCAGGAACTAGTGAAATATATTTTTTCATTTTTTATTTTATTATTTTAATTTTAAATAGTTTGCTTCACATGTTAATCCTAGGTCCTTCTCCCCTCCTTCTGCACCGCCCCCCACCATCCCTTCCCAGCTTCCCACCCTATCTCCATTTCCTTCCACATAGGGGATATCTAGAGTCTGTCATTCTAGTGAAATATATTTTACAAGCTGTGAAACTCCTAATGATAAATGGGTGTCAAAAATAAGTTCTTCTTCGGGTATTTAAATTTAACAAAAGGTATTTTTATTTCTATGCTACTTCTTAAGGCTAAGTGTATACTGGAAACAATCATAGTTTCATTTACTAAAGTTCATTAGTGAGGCTAGAACTGTGTGAGTGCATAGGTCCTAGAGCTAGTGGTTTTGAAATTTGTACAGGCCAGACAGGTGGAGAGCATAAAATGTAGGAACTTGATATTCTTTCAGTAAAAGCATCTTAATGGGCTAGCACAGCTTTAAACAGGGAATTTTCCACAATGAAGTGAAAAGGCCAACCATGTTTGATTTGAGGGTGATGTTCAGAGGCCATCAAGAGTAATGAAAAGGAGAGAATTGTAGCCTACAATTTAAATACACTCTGTTACAACCTCTTCATTTTCAATAACAAAGGAAGCCTAGGTGGAGAAAGTACACAGATATCACTTGGAATTTAATATCCATTAACTGTTTTTATATTTTATGAGTTCTTAAACAGATCCAACAAATGCCCTTGTCTCAATTATCTCACATATGAAGCATGGCTGCTGATGTCTTTCTGTAGGATTTGTCCAAATAAAATAATATAAATATGTCAACTATTTGGCTGTTTGGCAAAAGTAGGGTTTGGGTAATGTTTCAATGGTAGGAGGTTTTCTTGTTTGTTTGTTTGTTTGTTTGTTTGTTTGTTTTTCTCTCCCATAGTTAAAATTTTCCTCTGTTAGGTGTCCACCAAGATTTGTGGGAAGAAATGGGTCAAGGTCTTGGATGAGAAAATCACAACTCCAATTTTCCTCATTTAATTTAACCTCAGCAAAGATTTCATCTTTCTTTTTTCTTCCTTCCTTCCTTTTTTCTTCTTTCTTTCTTTAAATTTCAGTAGGATTTCATTCAAGGCCTGGATGACCTGGAACTCACTAAGTAAATCAGGCCAATCTTGAACTCACAGACCTCTGCCTGCCTCTGCCTCCTCCCTGGCTGATACTAAGACTAAAGACATGTACTACTTCACCCAGACCAGTAACTATTTCTTGATATTTTTCTACATACTGAGTATTGAAACAATAGAAAGATCAATCAGGGACTGCCCTTCGACTTGACATGTAACTCAGAACCAGCACAGTCCTTATGAATAGGAAATACAGTGTCAGGTCAATGAACTCATCTTAACCTTAGATGCCAAATTCCCAGAGATTAATGGAATGAATGACCACAGTACAGCCTTAAACTCTCTCCTTTTCAGCACATGTGTATGGACTTTTTAACAGTGTTAATTCTCTTGACTTTCCTCATTGCTCCCTAGTCTCTTTATTCATTCTCCATCTCTTTTTCTTTCTATATCAGTCTGTGTGGCAGTGTGGAAGAACCACCACATGAGGACAGTCACCAACTACTTCATAGTCAACCTTTCCCTGGCAGACGTGCTTGTGACCATCACCTGCCTTCCAGCTACCTTAGTTGTTGACATCACTGAGACCTGGTTCTTTGGACAGTCCCTCTGTAAGGTCATTCCTTATTTGCAGGTAATTCTTTTTTAGGTCCTTTTAGAAATTATTTTAAATGTTTTCAATTATAGTCATGACCACCTGATAAACTAGTTAATGAGTTAAGAAACAAGTATAAATATTCAGAAAGTAAAACACTTAAAGAAGATAATACTTGAGATTTGAGGAATAAACAAGTTCACGTCTAGATAAAATTGAGGCAACAATGCTGTTAACTATTTCACACTCTTCATCACTAAATAAATCATTGAACAAAGTAATGATTAAGACTCCCTTAGCTCAAGTAACCATGAGCATTTGTTTTTCAATAATCAAGAATATCAGGGTTTTTTCCAAATGATTTATTTTCATCCTAAGGAATTAAGAGGTGTGTAGATCAAAGAAGGGCAACTTGGGGCATCAGTTCTAGGTTTGGAATGTCTCTTCTGCCATCTCTAGATGGCACCCTATCAAGTGAATTACATAGATTTGTTGTAACCCACTTACTAAAAATAGTAATTTTAATAAGATCTACCTCATATAGATGTTGTGACAGACTATTTAGATTATTTACAAGAGTCTCTTGCTCTGTGATTACTGAATCATGAACCTAAAACAATGGATTAAAAGTGAGATGCACCACTAGATGTCTTTTGTTAACAGATACAGAAGACTGCACTTACTGTTCACCACCGAGACATCTAGTGAGTAAACAGTGAGTGAAGCCTTTCTGTATCTGTTGACAAACCAAAAAGAAAAAAGAAAAGAAAAGAAAAAAGAACAAATACTTTTAAAAGCATCATTTCTGACTGTATTTATGAATGTAACAGTCTTTATTAGAAGATTCCTGATAGTGACCATGGCAGCACAAGCCTAAGAGCAGTGTTCACCTTAGGAAGTGAAGGAAAACACAGATAGTATTCCCCTTTGGAAGCAGATAGTGAAAGAAAAGTCAGTGGTTCCTCTATATCATCCCAAAATCTCCATCTACCCTTGTCCTTAGTCCCTGCACCATTCTAGGTACTGATCACAATGTTTCCAAGAAGGAATAATGGGCCTCACATAAGAGAAATCTGGAAGAAGTCACAAAAATCCATTACTACAAATAGTTTCATTTATTCTTTAGAAAGAAAATGTTTGAGACTTTTCTGTTCAGCAGCTCCTCAACGATCTCTTAGAAGTAACATTTTTAAACAGCTGACATCATTTATAGAATATGTGATGATGCAATAGAAATTATAAGCTATGTACAGACATTATGTTTAATTATAAGGTTTGTGGGCTAGCATGCTGAGAGCCATCAGTAGATTACAAAACAAACTGCAATAAATTTTTGGAGAAATAGTAAAATGAACAACAAAGAAGAACACCCTCATCATAAACAATTAAGTAAGAATCTATGATTGGATTTACATATATGTATGGCTGAATTTGCATACAGTAACTTGAAAAAATCAAAAGCAGAAGAAATTCTAACATCTGAATATCTTTCCTGTTATTTTCAGTAAACTGTATTTCTCACAGTTCCGCTAACCATCCAAGGGGAAACGTCTACTCCCTTTAGTTTCAGGGTAGTTTCAACTGCCCAAATCCTTGGTTGCCTGACAGTCTTCATGGTATCTATCTCATGAACCAGATGTTTTGATGTAGAGGATAATGGAGTGAGAAAGTATCACCTGTGCCAGGAGTGTGCATTCTGGCTATGATACAATCATAGCTTGCTTGCTGTGCCATGCACCTCCCAAGCCTCCGGGGAAGCCAGAACAAAAGATGGGAAGCAGCATTAACAGCAAGGGATGCAGGCACAAGTACTCCTAAAGTCACTGGCATTGTTTTTTTCCGTGAAACATGACTTATAAGCATGTTCTAAATGCCAAAGGACAAACGGAGATTCTGGCTCCAGCGTAAACAGTGTCCAGTTCATCCATCTCCACAAGAGAAAACCAATGTTTGGAAGCCTTGAGTTATGCATTTTGCATCTCAAGTAACTCTGTAATTCCACAATCCCTAGCCCTGACCCTAGAATCAGCAGGGTTGAAATGTTTATTTCTTTACATTTTCAACTGAAAAATCACTTATGTGGTTATTCACATACAAGTCTATACTGAGAGAGCCTACATGTTTTTAAGAAAGTTACTAATTGACAGTGAGCAAACTATAGCACACATACTCACGTACAGAATTCTCTTTTAATGTAATCTAGACCTTTATTTGTGTGCAATGGATTGAAAATAAGTTGGACCAAATTACTGATTATTATTATAAATGCAAAAAACACTCATGGTAATGAAATGTAACCATTGAAAATCTACATGATAACTTAAAATACTCATGCCATGCAATTCTTTTTGATTGAAAGAAAACATACCCATGTATAATTTCTTTCTCTCTGCAAATACTATTTACACTATCAGTAGAAAAGCTACAACAGAGTAAAGATAGTAACTATTCATGCATTATAAGCTGAGCTTTTAATGTGAGAAAACTGAACAGTTTCAAAGTACCTATTTCACATCTGAGAGGAAATACAAAATTTCCTGATGCATTTATAGTTTTCATCATCCATTTTGTTAACATGAAAGTCGTTTGCATGAGTACATAGAGTGGGCTACCTTGAATTCACTTTTTTCTGCTGTCACTACTTGGCTGATAAGGCAAATAAATGCTATCACATTGTATTTCTGACACCCAGCAATTCTCTTGAACCACATTCCTTTTTTTCCCCTCTCTAGACTGTGTCAGTGTCTGTGTCTGTTCTTACATTGAGCTGCATTGCCTTGGACCGATGGTATGCAATTTGTCACCCTTTGATGTTCAAGAGCACAGCTAAACGGGCTCGAAACAGTATTGTCATCATCTGGATTGTCTCCTGCATCATAATGATCCCTCAAGCCATTGTCATGGAGTGCAGCAGCATGCTCCCTGGCTTAGCCAATAAAACTACCCTCTTTACAGTATGTGATGAGCACTGGGGAGGTAAGTAGCTTTTGCTCATGTGCTCCCATTGGCAGGGTATCTGCAAATATTGGACTAGTATCACTATTACTAAATTGAACTTATATTTTTATTAGTATTTGTTAAAAGAGCTCAGAAAAAGGATGAAAATAAACTTGAAGAACAACACAATTTCATAAATAGCTCACACCTTTTGGAAGGGCTTAATGTACAATTTTCAATTTTTATAATTTTTACAATGGAAATGAGTAGAGGACTTTATTCAGATAATACCTCATTTTTACTTATTGCTCAATTTTTTAAAAAAACAAGTGAAGTATTCAATGAAACAAATCAAATTATATATTAACACTTTGTGAAAATCAATATGAAAGTTTCTCAAAAAATAAAATACAGAGATTATATATGACCCAGTTATCCCATTCCTGGGCATAATCCTAAATGACTCAGAGTTGATGGTTAATGCTACTCTATGCATAATATTTAAGAAAGAGTATCAGCATAGATGCCTATGAAAATGTGATACATATCACAATTGAATTTTATCCAAATTAAAGAAAAATAAAATATTCAGGAAAAATGGATGGAACTGGAAAACATCACACGAAGTAAACCAAGGTCTAAAAAGACAAATGTCACATGTTTTCTCTCATGTGTGTGTAGTGATATATTGTTTATGATTTAATAAAATTTGCCTGTGGATCAGAATGAAAAGCCAGTCACTCTAGTTATCCATAGCAACTGGGCAGTGGTGGCACACACCTTTAACCCCAGGACTCAGGAGACAGAGGCTGATGAATCTCTGTGATTACAAGGCCACTCAGGGATACATGAGAGTGAATCAGTCTAAAACGGAAACATAGCTCATGCCTTTAATCAAACAAGAGAGTTATATAAGGAAGAAGCAAAGAGTCTCATATGAAAGTTAGCTTTCAATCACAGAGAAGACAGGATCTCCATTTCAGCCTTGATAGACGTAAGAGTTACTGGCTTGTTGCTTTGCTCTTCTGATCTTCAGCTTGAACCCCAATATCTGGGGTTTTATTATTTGTGCTATATGTGTGTGCCTTAGCATCTAATTTTTTAAAATGTGAATCTATGTGCAAATGAAAGAAGATAGATACCAGGAAACTAGAAAGGGGCCTATGAGAGGGGAAGAAAAAAAGATATTTTAAGAGAGGGCCATGGGGGAGGGCCTAGGCCCTGCCCTGGATGAAATGACAGACCCTGGAGATCCCCCATGGAGGGCCTCACCCTCCCTGTGGAGAGGATTGGGAATTGGGTGGGGGCTTGGGGAGGCTGGTGAGGCGCTGGGGAGCAGGGGAGGGTGAGGGAGCTGGGACTGACATGTGAAGCTAGCTTGTTTCTAATTTAAATTTTAAAAAAGATAAATAACAAAAACAGTTTGGAGAAGAGAGAGGGGCAGGAACAGCAATAGAACACATATTCTTTAATAGCGGAATGCTTCATACTGGAAATGGGAAGGAAATAGGCCAGAAAAGGAGGCTAGGGAATAGCAGAGGGGAAAGTGGGGAGAGTGTCAACCCAAACTAGGCATGCATAAAAATACCATAAGGAAATGCTAATTTGCATGCTAAGACTTTGAAGAAAAAAATTCATTGTAGCTTTAGAAATTAGGTAAGTTTGATTAAAATGTTAAGAAAACAATAAATTTTTGTTTTTTTGTTTAAAATAAAAGGATATTTATAAACTGGTTCAATGTTACATTGTCAGAAGTTCCCAGTTTCCTAATTGCCTCCAAAGCAATTAGGTTTGTGTTTGTTTGTTGTTTTCAGTTTAAAACTGTTCTGAAAACATCACCTTACCACAGAGATGCTCAGTCACTGAGTGAGGAATGATGTCAATTAGAAATAACCTCTGGTCTGGTGTTGGTGGTGCATGCCTTTAATCCCAGCCCTCAAGAGTTCAAAGCCAGCCCGGTAGAGTTCCAGGATGACCTCCAATACAGAGAAACCCTGTCTTGAAAGAGAGAGAAAGAAAGAAAGAAAGAAAGAAAGAAAGAAAGAAAGAAAGAAAGAAAGAAAGAAAGAAAGGAAGGAAGGAAGGAAGGAAGGAAGGAAGGAAGGAAGGAAGGAAGGAAGGCAGGCAGGCAGGCAGGCAGGCAGGCAGGCAGACAGACAGACAGACAGACAGACAGACAGAAAGAGAAAGAAAGAAAGAAAGAAAGAAAGAAAGAAAGAAAGAAAGAAAGAAGAAAGAAAGAAAGAAGAAAGAAAGAAAGAAAAAGAATCTCTGGATGGTATACATCTGTACACATCTGCACCCATAATAGTAATATATAAACAAGCAGAATTTTAGAAGCCTTCTGATTCTTTGCCTCAAAACTTTTAACAGAGGGAACATGGCTATCCACACATGGCAGAGACACAGATGAGGACAGAGAAAAGAATAATAAAAATTCACCATACATTTCAGTATGGCACATGCTAGTTACAAATGAAACTTGAAAGGATCAAACTGTCCTTTTCTAGATAATTGCACTACACTTGCTTATACTTATAGAATTTACACATCAGAAAAAAACGATTGCTAAATAGACATGCAATCATACTTATTAGAAAGATGAATCAAGCCAGGTGACCCGGGAAACTCAGGTAGATAGATCTTGAATCCTAAACCAGAATGGGCTGCACAGTGATGCTCAGTCTTAAAAAGAAAAAAATCAAAATAACCAAATCAAGTCAAAACAGAATTGTAGTAAACAAAATTTTAAAATATTAAATATCTTTTCAATGAGTTTTCCTCGTCTTCTCTAGCATTGCTATGCTTTTGCATTTGTTTGTCTCTCGTATTTTTTAAATAAAAGTTCCTATAGTAATATAGTCAAAAATGAACTGAATGGAAAGTTCCTACATGTATCTATCCTTAAGTATCTATCCTATGTCCCATTTATTTAATGTTCAAACAGCATCTAGAGTGTGCTAGGCATTTTGCCTAAGAGAGCGCGTTCCCAAGTGAGGACGAGAGACAAACCACAGTGTGATTAATGGACTTCTGTACTGAGTCCTAGGGACACAAACGAGAGAGCACCTTCAGTCCTGGCCATGTGGGCAATGTTTACAAAGAAGAAGCTGATATTTCAGCCAAGTACTAAAGATGATTATGAATTCTGTCAACAAAGAGCAGGAAAGGGATACCCCAGGCAAAGAAAAGATGTGTTATAGAAAGTAAGAAAACCCACTCACTGGGCCCACATATTTTGTTTTGTTTTGTTTTTTAGGTTAATGTTCTCTCTTTTTTTTACATTTTTATTTAAATTAGAAGCAAGCTTGCTTCACATGTCAATCCCAGCTCCCTCTCCTTCCCCTCCTCCCACGCCCTCCCACCAACCCCCATCCCATCTTCCCATCCAACATCCCCAGGGAGGGTGGGGCCCTCCATGGAGGATAGACAGAGTCTGTCATTTTGTTCCTCTCCCAAGAGTCCAGGCTTAGAAAGCATCCCTCAGTGTGGGATGGGCACCCAAAGTGCATTTGTATGCCAGGGATAAATACTAATCTACTACCCAAGGCCCCATGGGTTGCCTAGGCCTCCTCACTGACACCCACATTCAGGGTGTCTGGATCAGTCCCATGCTGGCCTCCCAGCCATCATTCTGGCGTCCACTTGGTCCACATCTTAAGGAAAAAGGAAGAAAGGGAAAAGGCATAGCCTCTGAGATACAGGAAGCCTGGAGAAATGACTTTATAAAGCTGAAGTTTCATACATGATTTAGTTATAGTAAATCATAGCTGGAAAGCATCCTGTAGCCTATAGCCTGATGCTTCTTCTTAATTCATGACTAAATTGAGCCCTACAGAGGTTACACTATCTGCTCAAGATTATAACGCAGTGTATACATATCAATTGCAAGAGTCCTACTGAAATGTGAAGGTCGTTTTTGATTACGGAAAGTGTCATTAGAGAAAATATTTAGAACTCAGTAAATGCCAGGGAAGATTTCCTAAGGTATTTTGGAAATGAGTTTCATTTATATGTTCATGGAGTATAATATAAATGTTTGCTCCCCACAAACAATCAAGCATCATTAACTCCATTAATGAAAAGATTACCAAACTATATAGAATCCTATCAATCTGTCAATAAATGTAATTAAGCACCATGTTGTATTTTTATAACATCTTTGATCAATAAACACAAATATACAAAATTTATATCTATTTTATTATATAGCTTTTATACAGATATTCAAAAGGCATTGATAAAACTATTTGAAAGTGGTTTGATAATAGCCCACAATCACTCAAAATGCTTCTAAGAGCTAAAATTAATTGATACTGAATTAAAATGATCATCTATAAAATAATCAAACAATAAGAACTTATAATTGTTTTAATTATAATTGTTATAACTATTCAGTTATAAATTACCAATAATTTACTGCTTTTAAGGAAGATGTAAAGTAATTTAAAATAATTTGTGATCATTTAACTCATTAATGAGTTCATTGAGACTTGTTCATGGAGACTTTAAAACTCCATGCCCAAGTTAAAGGTTAAAGGTCAGCAGAGGCATTATAACTCTCTTTGTGTTCTTTCTATTGTGATAAACACAATGACAGGACCAACTTGGAGGAAATATGTATTGCATCGTATAGTGTATAGTAGACCATGGAAGGAGGATGGAGCTTGCAAGAGCTTAAGGCAGGAACCTAAGATCAGGACTGAAGCATACGTCATGAATGAATGCTGTTTACTGACCCACTCCCTATGGCTTGTTCAGTCTGCTGAAGGATTCAAGGATATTTCAACACATGTCATTTAAATTTTCAGTAGGCTGAGGTTTTAGTTGTAAATCTACAAATGAAGATCAGATTTTAAGATTATTACATTATAACCTCTCCAGTAGTATATCCTTGCTAGCCTGTTGTATATTTTTGCATGATCAACTTTTCTACATAAATGTTCATCATAATATATACTTACTAGCCAATTGTTAACATTTCCACTGATTTAAAATTACCAGAACTTACCTTTCTTTCATCTCTTCAAAACTCCAAATTCCTGTGGCAGTAATGGTATCTGTTATGGTGGTGGGAAAAACATTACCCATGAAATTTACTTTTCTTCATCTGTCCAGTTTAGTTTGATGTAGGTATTAGAGCTTCAGTGTACATAAACTTCAAAGATGTGTGTGTGTGTGTGTGTGTGTGTGAGAGAGAGAGAGAGAGAGAGAGAGAGAGAGAGAGAGAGAGAGAGAGAAGGGGGGAAGAGAGAGAAATACATGCTGCATGAGATACTTTCTTTAAAACAAATAGAAGTTCAAAGCCACTCAGGTATCTGAGACTTGCTAAGGTCACCTTCAAGTTGTTTTGAAATTGGCCCAGCAAATTCTGTTCAGACTGCTGTACTTCAAATGGAACTGCTATCTGCTATTCCTACAGTACTTGAATTCTATCGCTCTTTATTTAATGGTCTGTTTTATAAGATAAACTTGAAAGCAAGTTAGAAATAAATGGGGCAGATGAGTGCCTCCTGACCTAGGAAGAGTCTAAAAATCACTCCTCAAATTGGTCTCTTATACCACTAAGCAGCCTATGACCCATGCTGTTCCTTCTACAATACCAAAAATACAATACCAATAAAGAGAAACAAGATAATTTCAGAATAAAGAATACAAAAAATATTAGACTCAAACTCAGTTAGCTCCAGATAAGAAGTTATGAGTTTAAGATAACAGAGGTCATCAAAATTATGAATATGTTTAAAATATAACCAGTAGTATAACTAAATGCAAGATTGCTAAGTAAATGACTATTATTATTGTTATTAATGCACTTATTATGATACATCCTGAATACAAATTTCTCTTATGATCAACTTAATCAAATATCCAAGGCTCCATCCTTTACATCCTTCCTTAATTAAATGCAGAGGTGATAACCCCACAGTTAGCTTAGTCACTGTTCTATGGCTGTGAAGAGACACCATGAACAAGGCAACTTTTATGAAAGGAAAATTTCACTGGGGGTTTTCCTACAGTTCATTATCATCATATTGGGGAGCATGGCCACATGCAGGCAGACATGGAGCTGGACAAGTTACTGAGAGCTATATCCTGATTCTTAGGCACAGAAAGAGCCTGGGTCTTGGCATGGGCTTTTGAAACTTCAAAGCCCACTCTCAGTGACACATTTTCTACAGCAAGGCCATCCCTCCTAATCCTTCTAATCTGTTCAAATATTGCCACTTACATTCTAATGATAGTAATTAACTGAATTTACATTTAGCACTTGTTTAAACAAGGAATTAGTCATTATTTTTAATAAAAACAACACATTTTACCAGGCCTCTTTTAGTAAATAAATATATAATGATATATAAGATAATCTATAATGGTATATTGTAATGCTCTAAGTGCAGGCATGTCAAATAAAGAGCCATTTGAGACATAAATTTCTTGATCATGATTACACTGTAATCACAACCAATTTAGAAATGACTAATTGTTATTTCTCTGAGTATACTAAGTGAAACATTGAAAATTATCATCCTATGTATGCATAAAGTATACAAGTGAAGTCATAAAGAAGATACATTCATACTTTAAAAGAAAAGCTGAAGTAACCACTCTTCTAAATCCTTCATTTTAATGCCAGATTTATGGTTTGACTCTCATCTCAGGTGATGTTTACCCAAAGATGTACCACATCTGCTTCTTCCTGGTGACTTACATGGCTCCTTTGTGTCTTATGGTATTGGCTTATCTGCAAATATTTCGTAAACTCTGGTGCCGGCAGGTATGTAGTATCAAATAATTTGTTTGTGTCTTTTTTAGGATGTACATAAAACAAATAAAAAACTCATTGAACTAATGTAACATGTTCAACATAGGATTGTTTGTTCTAAAGTACTGCAACTCTAGATATAATATCCCATGATTGTTTCACTGCTATTCAGCAAATGTCTAAAATTCTGCCTTAAGAAGTCTACGCTTCTGATAAAAGTCTAAATCTCAATAATTAACTGAGTTATTTTTTTAATCTGGGAGCAACTCTTTAAATTTTTTATTAATGATTTATTTATTGTTATTTTATTTATGCAGTGTTTTGCCTGCATGTATGTCAGCATACTACATGTACTCAGTGCTGTCAGTGAACAGAAGAGGGCACCAAATGCCCTGGAATGAGTTACAGATGATGAAAAGCCTCTATGTAGATGCTGGGAACCAAACTTGGGTCCTCTAGAAGAGCAACTAGTATTTTTAACTGCTGAGCCATATCTCTAGTCCCTGAGAATAAAATTAGTAGTTTTATTTTCATTATAAATAACAGAAATTAATTCCAATTCCTAGACAGTATAAATATAAGTGGTTGTAATATAAATGAAATTTTTGTAACAAATTTAGTATATGTTTTACATCTTCAACTTCTCATTTACAGTAGATTTTTAAATTTTTTTTATTTTTCAGTTTAAATTTAGATAAGAAACAAGGTTGCTTCACAAGTCAGTTCCAGGTCCCTCTCCCTTTCCCTCCCCTCCTCCCGTGCCCGCCCCCAGCCCCCCCCATTATCCCCTCATTTCCCCAGGGAGGGTGAGGCCCTCCATGGGGGTGTCCATAGTCTGTCATTTCATATAGGGCAGGGCCTAGACCCTTCCCCAAGAGTTCAGGGTGAAAGTGCACCTCACATTGTTGGATGGGAGTCCAAAGTCCGTGTATATACTCAGGATGGGTACTGATCTGCTGCCCAAGGCTCAATAGATTACCTAGGCCTCCTCACTGACACTCACATTCAGGGGGTCTTGATCAGTCCCATGCTGGATTCCCAGGGTGATGCCTGGGATTCAAGAGTTAACTTTTGTCAGGTCAGCTGTTTCTGGGGATTAAACCAGCCCAGTCTTAATGCCTTTGGTCATCGGTCCTCCCTCTCTGTTACTGGCTTTCTTGAGTTCAGCTCAGTACTTAACCTAGGGAGTCTGCCTCTTCTTCGATCAGCCACTAAATGAAGTTTCTGTTTCCCAGACTCTCTGGCCATGGGATTTTAGGCTGGCACTCCCCAGATCTATGTCTAAAATCCATATATGAGAGAGTACATGCCATGTTTCTCTTTTTGTGACTGGGTTACCTCACTCAGGATGGTTTCTTCTAGTGTCATCCATTTGCCTGCGAATCTCAGGATTCCATTGTTTTTCTGCTTAATAGTACTCCATTGTTTATCATTTACAGTAGATTTAAAGAATGAAATAACTCGGGGTTGTTATCCTCTGCTCCCCCAACACTCATCCTACTTTCCCCTCTGTACCCAGCATAGTTAAGAAATTTTAATTCTGAGTTAGAGTTACTATGATTTACTAGAAAATGATACCATTCATTCTCTTAGTGATTCATGTGTCATGTGTTAATATTGTCTGCCTACTTGGCTTAAACTAAATCAGTTCATGTGACCAGTAAATTCAGTATTCAAAGGGGATACAATCAAATGCACCAAAAGAGCCACACACCTAGAGAAAACATATTTCTCCCAACCTCCACTCCTACTTATCACCATCAACTTTCTGCCTCTCAGATAGGAGTAGAAGATCCTGAGCTCCTCCCACCTGCATAATGGAGTGTCGACTGGCTTGATCTTGTTCATGTCTTACAGAGGCAACCATAGCTGCTGTTAATTAGTCCATGAATATAGTGGTCCTATCATTTCCAGAAGATGTAACGTGGCTCCAGTTTTTCACAACCTCTGGCTCTTTCAAATCTCTCCATTCCAGTTCCTCTTCCACACGTCTCTGAATTGTTAGGGTAGAGAGTGTGACAGATAAGTACCGTTCTGACTGAGTACTTCACAGGTGTCTATTAGGCACTTTGACTCGTTGCAACTTTCTGAATTAACTGCCACCCACAGCAACAAAGAAACTTCTCTGATAAGGTGGAAGGCCTATTCTGTCTATGGTGTAGGGACAGGAATATTTGATTCAAGGCCATATTCCATAAGAGTTTCCTCTCACAGAAATACCTTGCCAAATATCCAGGGCTGTGGAGCTCATAAACACCAGGGATGAATCAATCACTATTATTTTTTCTAAAAGTTTCCCCTAAATTTTAACCAGAAAGTGGTTGATTATCTACATTATCTTTGTGCCATTATTGCACCCATGAGTGTATCTTACAATACCTGTCTTAATTGTAGCCCAAAGGTCATAGTTGAGTAAGACTGCTGATGACTCATCTCCCCCAGTACCTGCATAGCATCTTCTGATACTATGAAAATTAACAGGAAGGAATCTTCCCTGTCAGCACCCCCTTTGTCTCTCCATATCAAAGTGTGTAGTGTCGTCAGCAAGTGTCTTACCCTCAAATTCTGTGGGAAATGAACAACAGCAACAGCCTGCATTGCTTTGGGTAGTTGATGGGACTTTCTTGACCAATAATTTAACTTTTGGCAAGAGGCTTTTTATTTGGCAACTTAAAGCTTCTGGGAGGAGAGTTATTCCCTGAGTAACCCCAAATAAGCTCTTATATGAATATATCTATATGCACATGCAGGTACATACTGTTCTATTTTATAAGCATGCATAGATATATTGAAGCTTGTAAATGCTAAATTTCCAGTCAGCATTTTCAAACATCCTCAGCATTAGTTACCTTGTATTTCTAAGATGTCTTATCTGGTCTTTTGGATGAGTTTTTCATTTGTGTTTTATCCAATTCTTGGTATTCAAACCACCTTTTCAAGGCCATATTTCACTGATTGGAACCAAGCAGCTTTTACAATTTTGAGTCCTGTATGATGTACAACTCAGAATTTTTTTCTTTTATGTTCACAACGAAAGTTTCTCTTTTAATAATTATTTTCATTATGCTTACACATATACTAATAAATTTTATTTATGTTTGCATACTTTTATTTATAACTCCTGTGATATTTTTACATCCAGTAGCAAAGTCAAGTCATGTTCTGTTCTCCAGATCTTTAATTAAAACAAAGAGAACAAGATAAAATAGATGAGAAGTGATTTGTGTCATGCCCAGCAACTATTTTCTCAGACTTTTCAAAAGCCCATCGTATGTTTTCTAGAATGTTTTGTTATTGCAAAATGCCTCTTCCTCATTTGTGTTATGGTATCTGCTTTTACTAGTCTTCTCGACTATCAATGAAGCATGCTGTTCTAAGCAACAGCTCTGTCTTACTTTCAATTCCTCTCAGCGCAGGGGCAATGAGTCAGCTTCTGTCCCACCAGTCTATGCAAGTGGGGTTTTCTGGGACATGGCATTCTGGGTATTACAGGAAAGGCCCAGATGTTGGAAAACTATCAACTGCCTCTTGAAATTTCTCTTGTGAACCTACATCAGGTAATCTTTTATTGGCCCAATCAGATACTTAAGTATTCTCTGACAAAAGGCACAAGTCACAGGGCCGTCGTCTCAGGAGTTGAGGGCTGATGATATGGACTATCACAGCATGAAAATGTAAAAAAAAAGAAAAAAAAGAAAAAATGCAGTCTAGGGCAAGAATGCCTGAGTTTGACCTTTGAGCATGTGACTGAGTAGTTACACAGTTTGTCGATGGCCACTGTAGTTTTCATAATCTTAAATTTTGTTTATTTTATTCAGTCATATGTGTTTGTCTAGGGATCATGTGTGTACAGTGCCTGTGGACCAAGGAGTTACTAGGATAGGAGTGACAGAGAATTGCCAACTGTCACATGTGTGCTCTGGGAGAGTAACCAGTGTTCTCAGCCACCGCGTCACTTCCATCACGTTTAAAGCAGGGTTGCACAGCTCATAACTTCATACATATTAGGAGGAATAAGTACCTAAATCATTGGAATAAGTACCCAGATATCACATATAGTACCTAAACAGTCTATGCTGTTAGCTAGACATTCAACTAAGTCTGATTACATTTCTAAATTAGCAGGTGTTGAATTGTTGTCTGTGACCTTTATCATTTGTCTTCGTTTGTTTTTGTTGTTGTTTTTCATGCTAGAGGATCAAACTCAGGGCCTGACCATGTTTTGAGTGACATCTTTGCCACTGAGTGGCATATCTTGTGACTGAGTAACACTGCTAAAAATGAACTTAGTTCATGGAATTTTAGAACAGGCTTGTAATGATTCTTCTGTTCCCTAGGTCATTAATTGATGATAGTACATAGTAGCCTGAAACTTTGTATTCTTCTAATCATCACATGCCCGGATGAGTGCAATAGAAAAAAATGAGTGAGAATTTTCAAAAGTAAGGACCTATAGCAATCTCTTGTTCATCCATTCAGAGGAATGTTTTTATAAAAAAAATAGAATATGGCTGTTTTCAAAGAAAAATATTAATGTACAGAACAGCTATACAGATGTTATAAGTATAGACTGAGATACTGAAGAGCATATTAGATATCAAGATCATCATGTAGTTTTTCAAATATTGGCATAAAATTAATGTACCTTTAAAACTAGTTAGGAGTAACATGCAATTTGCCTTGTTTCCATTGTGTCTACAACTGTTATCTGTTGCCTTGCACAAAGAAGGGACTTGAAAAATGTTCTCTAATGTGTAAATGACTCTTGAACTGTAAACATTCTGCTTATTTATTATTTAAGCTTATATTTCTCAATTTCCAAATCTTTGAAATAAATTCAAATTGTATTACAGGCTTAGAATTAATCTACATTTTTTGATGAAATGTCTCACTTAGTGCAATCCACATGATTTAAAAGATTTGCAGTAAAATGCCTGAGCTGTGAAACTAAAACATTTAAAAAGCAGATTGGAATGGAAATTGGCAAGTTGAGCTGAGCCCACTTTACAGCT